GCCAGCAGGTCATCTCCTGAGCCTGAGGGGTCCCAGACTGTGAGAGGGCACAGGCCAGGCTGGGGACCCCCCCCTCCCGAGTGCACAAATTTTTGTGCACCGGGCCTCTAGTTTATTTATAAGAAAGAAAACAGAAGCCAGTTGAAAGATTCAACAACAGTGACTGCTACATCAAATGTTAATAAAAGCATAAATCAAAACTATAAATACCTCATGATTATCAATATGTGGTTAAAAGGGGAAAATTGAATTCAGCAAAATTGCAGGATAGTAGATTAACATGTAAAAATTAGTTGTGTTTCTATACACCAGCAAAAATAATCTGAAAAGGAAAGTAAGAATGCAATTTCATTTATAATAGCATCTTAAAGAATTAAAGACTTAGAAATAAATCTAACCAAGGACATGAAAGACTTATATACTAAAAACTAGAAACCTGATGCACAAAATTCATGCATGGGTAGGGTCCCTAAGGCCTGGCCGGTGATTAGGGCCAATCTGTGGGGTGACCTGTGGGGCAATCGGGGGAGGGCGGGTTCCCTGCTGGCACCCGCCTTGACTGGCCTGCGGGGGGATTGGGGGCCCCCACTGGCACCAGCCTTGACTGGCCTGGGGCCTGCGGGCTGGGGGCAGCTCCTGCATTGTCTGCCCCCTGGTGGTCAGTGCACATCATAGCGACCGGTTGTTCCACTGGTTGTTCTGCCATTTGATCAATTTGCATATTAGGCTTTTATTATATAGGATTATAAAACATTAATGAAAGAAATTAAAGAAGATCTAACCAAATTGAAAGGTGTCTGTGTTCATGGATTGGAAGATTTAACGCTGTTAAGATGTTCATACTACCTAAAGTAATCTACAAATTCAGTGCAATCATGATTAAAATTGTAAAAACTGGTTTTTGTAGAAATGGAAATGCAGATCCTCAAGTTCACATGGGAATTGCAAGGGGCCTCAAATAGCCAAAATAATCTTGAACAAGAAGCATAAAGTTGGAAGACTCAACTCAACTTCCATACTTTGAAACTTACTACAAAGCAGTAAACAAAGTAGTGTGGTACTGGCATAAAGACAGACACATAGACCAATGAAACAAATTAAAGAATCCAAAATAAACCCACACACATATGGTAACTGACTTTTGACAAGAGTAAAGGGAGCAAGGGCAGTCTTTTCAACAAATAGTGCCGGAAAACCTGTCCATCCACATGCAAAATAATGAAGTTGGGCCCTTAACTAATACTGTATATAAAAATATAACTAAAACTAGATCAAAGAGCTAAATAAACTTAAGAGCTAACACTATAAAATTCTTAGGAAAAAAACTGAAGAAAATCTTCATGACATTGGATTTGGCAACAATCTCATGTAATGCCAAAAGCACAGGCAACAAAAGAAAAAATAAATTGTATTTCATCAAAATTTAAAAACTTTCATGCATCAAAGGATATTATCAAGAAGTGACAAGACAATCTATAGAATGGAAGAAAACAATCTATAGAATGATTTGAAAATCATATATCTGACAAGGGATTAATGTCCAGAATATATAAAGAACTACAACTCAACAACAACACAATTAAAAAATGGGCAAAGGACTTAAATAGATATTTCTCCAAAGCATATAAATGGGCAAAAATAACATGAAAAGATGCTCAACATCATTAGTCATTAGGGAACTGCAAATCAAAACCACAATGAGATACCACTTCATACCTACTAGGATAACTATTTTTAAAAGAAAATAAGTGTTGGCAAGGATGTGGAGAAGCTGCAACTCTTGTGCATTGCTAAAGGGAATGTAAAATGGTGCAGCTACTATGGGAAACAGTTTGGTGGCTCTGTAAAAAGTTAAACAGAATTACCATGTGACCCAGCAATTCCACTCCTGAGGATATACCCAAAGGAACTGATAGCAGGTATTCAAATAGATATTTGTACACCAGTGTTTATAGCAGCATTATCCACAATAACCAAAAGGAAACAACCCAAGAGTCCATCAATACATGAATGAAAAAATAAAATATGGTATATGAACACAATAGAATAGTATTCACCTATTAAAAGAAATGAAATTCTGACACATGCAACAACATAAATGGATCTTAAAAGCATCATAGTAAGTGATATAAGACAAACACAGAAGGCCAAGTATTGTATGGTTCCATTTATATAAGGTATCTAGAATAAGCAAATTCATCTAATATAATAATAGAGGAATACGCAAATTAGCTGGATGCCGTAACGTGACGACTGATCTACAAGTGGCAAAGAGCTATAGGAGGGCGGGGCCAAGAGCTACCAGCGGTGGTGGGCGGTGTGGCCAGCTGAGGCAAGCGGCAGTGAGCTACTCGCGCATGGATTCGTGTCTACTAGTATAGACAGAAAGCAGACTAAAGGTTATCAGAGGATTGGAGAGGGGCGAGAGAAGGGAAGTTACTGTTTATGTTGGGAATCATGAAAAAGTTTTCGGTTTAGACAGTGTGATAAGTACACAGCTTTGTGAATGTATTTGATGCCACTGAATTGTACATTTACAAACAGTTAAAATAATAAATATTATTTATGTATATTTTACTAAAATTTAAAAAGTGGGGGGGCAATACTATGCATAGTGAAAAGATAGGAATGAAATAAACAAAAATGTCAGCAGCAGCTATTTTGAGATAAGAAATCTTTGGGTGGTCTCCTCTTTCTTTTAATCACTTTTCTCTATTTTCCAAATTTTCTTTCAATTACTCTTTGGATAGGAAAAAAAATGTTTCATGTTTTAAAACTTCAGGATTTAATACATACAGTACATAGTTCTCCAGCCCAAATTTTTCCCTTGATGATAGAAAATTTCTTTACATTTGGACCAGCATTTACAAAGGATTTACTCAACAAGGGACTATAAGGAAATCATCACTTTAAATGATTTAAAGAAATTCACTGTTGCACAGAGGTAAGAACTAATGTTTTCTTAGGAAAGGGTTCACCTTGACCTGGCCACAGGCCCATTGAGCTCACTCACATCACATCAAGGTTTGATATCAATCCTTTCCTTTATCTGAGTTTCTCTCCTAGCCCTTTGGGTGCTGAATGAGGAGAGGACAGGTTTCAAGGCCCCTCAGATAGATAATTTCCTCTGGATGTGTGATAAAGTCCACAATTTGACATTCAACCAATAAATTAAAATAGAATATAATTTAAACATGCAAGTGAGAATTTTTCTTAATTTAATTAATTGAAATAATCAATATTAATTCACCCTTAAAAGTACTCTAAGCCCATCCCAGAAGGTCTTGTTTATATAGCAAATGATACTGACATTGTGCTAGGTTTTTATGCATAAGTCCAAAGGACCTGTTCTCCCCTTTCTGACAAGTAAATAAAACGGTAGGGAATCAAATAACTCACTAAAAAGAAGATATAATTTTTTATCTCCCTTTTTACAGTCTCATATCCACTTCCGTTGGGAATAACAAAGTCTGAATTTTTATGCAACACTTATCTAAATGTGTCGATTTTATCGGATTGATGAATTTTGCTAACAAAAGGCAGCGCTAGGAAATCTTTTATGACATATTTGGCCCATTCACAGGCCTGGAGCTTTAATTTAATCAACTTGAGAATTCTGAGGGAGAACTGCAGGTGTTGGATCTGAAAAAAAAGTCATAAATGGGAAGGCATATCAATCTTTATGATGGGGAAACAAAAACACTCTACTTGATTGCCCTCCACAGGCAGGAGAAGGAGAGGTGGAAGTAGCAGGACATTGTCTCAGGCTGCATAGCACAGAGAAAGCATTGCTGTCTCCTGGTGACCACTATTTAGTATTGATCAAAAAGTGCTGGACCAGAGAAGAAGAGAGGAATTGATAAAACAATGAGATTGGCCAACACTGTGTGCTCAACAAGGATGTTTTCTCCTTTTCACGACCACATTGGAATTAGTCATTCCCTTGGCCACCTGAGCAACCAGATGGCTTCTGTCCCATAGTCTCCACACCCCTCCCACCCCCACCCTGCCTAATAGCACTGTCACCTTTCTTCCCCCATGGACCTCTCCTATCAGAATGTGCTGACTGTAGACAGAGCCAATAGCCTGACAAGATCTGCTGGATCTCCCTAGTTCACCCTCCGCTCCCTCCACTACCTTGATTCTCAGCCACACTTCTCTCCATGGAAAAACCACCATGACCTCCCCCGATCTGTCTCTCTGTTGCCTCCAGATCCTCCTTGCCATGCCATCCTTTCACCTAGAGCCAGCCATCTCTACATAGGAGGGGAACCTCTTTCAGTCAGTCTCCTGCTCAAAATTTTTTAACTCCCTACTTTCCATAAGATGAAACTGTAAATTCCTTAGCACGAAATACTACAAAGGTCCTTTTGTCATCTGACCTTTCACAGTACCCCCAACACAGCAATGTCCATCGGTCCATTCATCTGTAAAACCATCCAATTTTATCAACCTCTAACGGAAACATCTAGTCATCCACCAGAACTCATATCTCCTTTTCAATTCCTATCTCCAGTTGCAGCTAAAGCGACAGTGAGGGGATACAGTCCTTAGCTAAATGAGCAGGTAGTATGGAGTCCTCAGCAACAGAATTTCAGTGAAAAGGGTATGCCCCTTCCAGGTCCAGGTCCTAAACACTAGACCTTACTGCAAACATGAACACAGCACTGCCTGTGCCCACTTTGACCACACGAACAAGGAGACACCCTACAGTGGAGGGCCAGCAAGATGGAGGCAACCTGGGTTTCTCTAAATGTCATGCAGAGCAAAACCACACACTGCTCATGTTAGGAAATTACCTATAAAATCAACTTCCTGCTTCTTAATGCCTCTGTACTGTTTGGTCTCTTCCAATAGCACCTTAGCCTTTACCCTTCATGCAAGCAAGGGCCAGGCGATATCCCACTTACTAGGACCCAGTGTTGACAGCTGCCTCCCAATCCATGTGTGCCCTGAAGCCTGCTTGTGTATGTGAACCTTCCTCTCATTGGCAAACCTACTTGGTGTTCTCCAGGGTCTTCTGCATTTTCTTGGTCATTTTCTCTATCGCTGCCTGTTTCTTTCCTTCAGCCAAGAGGTCCGTCTTGTTCAACACCACAATCAGCTTCTGGCAGGCAATCTGTCCAATCACAAGGCATTCTGCTGACTGGGTCTGCATCCCCTTGGTCACATCGATGACCAGCATCATCAGATCAATGATCTGGGCCCCTGGAAGGAGAAAAGACAAGGTTAGAAATGGAAAAGGGAGAGGTGAGCTCAGAAAGCTGCCCAATGTGCTAGGTCAGGCAAAACTGGCCAAATTAAAGTATTAAAAGTGGGTGGAGTGGGAAATGAACAATTATCACATACCTCCTAGCACCAGGCCACAGGTGACATGCTTTGACCTATAAGATTTTACTGAATTCTCACAACTAACATGAAGGGCAGGTGTGTTACCCCATTTAGAGATCAGAAAACTGAGGCCTATAAAGGAGAGCTTGCCCAGGCCACACAGCTAGCCTGAGCAGGGCTGAGTGACTCAAAAACCCATGACTTTCTATTGCACCAATCCTATCATTTCATTCCATCCTACATAGGAAAATATAAGCAGAAAAAAGCTTAGTGTTAGACTTGACAAATGCCTAGAGATTTGCCTTTGCAAAGAGATAGGAGAGAAGAACTAAAAAAGTGAAGGAGAGACCTAGCTGGTTTGGCTCGGTGGATAGAGCATCGGCCTGTGGAATGAAGGGTCCCAGGTTCAATTCGGTCAGGGGCACATGCCTGAGTTGCGGGCTTGATCCCCAGTAGGGGTGTGCAGAAGGCAGCCAATCAATGATTCTCTATCATCATTGATGTTTCTAGCTCTCTCTCTCCCTCTCCCTTCCTCTCTGAAATCAATAAAAATATATTAAAAATCAACAAAAACCACACACTTGGTGGCTTAAACAAGAGAAATTCATTTTTAAAAAAAGTTAAGGAGGAGTTTGGGTGGGGAAAGGGCATCTCCTCTATGGCTCCTGGGCCTTCTCCTCATAGTACTTGTGGTTTCCTCATGATCATTTCATGCTTGACTGGACTGTATCTACTCACTTCTTCTGTCCTTTCTGTGCTGGCTGGGGGCTTCCTGTTCTTTCGGGGGGCAGAGTAGGAGCATTCAACTATATCAACAGAGCATCATATGTGTATGTACATATATGTGCATGTATGTGTGTGCGTGCATATGTATGTGTGTGCGTGTGCACACACATGTGTGTGCGCACATGTCAGATTGTGAGTATGGCCTAAACACACAGCCACAGTTGAACTGAACAATAGCAGGGACAGTGATTCTATCATCTACCATGAGCAGGACAAATTATGTACAGCAGACTCATCTTTTTAAGCAACTGAGTCCAGCCCTAGCTGGTTTGGCTCAATGGATAGAGCATCAGCCTGCAGACTGAAGGGTTGAGGGTTCGACTCCAGTCAAGGGCACATACCTTGGTTGTAGGCTCAATTCCCAACCCTGGTTGGACATGTGCGAGAGGCAACCAATCAATGTGTCTCTCTCACATCGATGTTTCTCTCTCACTGTCGCTTCCCCTCCCTTCCACTCTCTCTAAAAATCAATGGAAAAAATATCGGGTGAGGATTAACAACAAAAACACAAAAACAACTGAGGCCTATAAAACCTCATCTGAAAGATTCTCTCATTTCTACTGAATCACCAACTCCCTGGAATCCATCTCTGTTCCAGCTCCAGTTCCCATGACCCATGGCAGGTCCATGTCAGCTGTTCCTTAATGGGTCCGTTCACCTCAACTTGTCCCTCTGAAATCCATGCTCCAAGCAGCCTCCCAAAAGGAATTTTCTAAAGATACATAACTGATTCATACACTGTTGGAAGGGTGGGAAGGGGTTAAATTAGTACAACCTCTATGAAGTTCGAGTTGGAAACAGCTATCAAATGTACATAATCTTTGACACAATCAAGCTCACATACATGTAAAATGTCCTTATAGCAAGCTTATTCTAGTTGAAAACCCTGGAATATCCATCAGTAGAGGACAGGGTAAAAATAATGCTACAACCATGTGACAGAATACTATATGGCCATTAGAAATAATGAAGAATCTCTTTCTAAAGCACTATAGAATGATCTCCAGGGTAAAGTAAGTGACAAAAGGAGTAGAACAATGTAACTTGTGTTAAAAGGAGGAAACGTGTGTGTGTGTGTGTGTGTGTGTGTGTGTACTGTATATGAGTATCTGCTTCTATATGCATAAAATATCTCTGAAGGAATATAAAAGAAACAAATAACTTTTGGTTGTGTTGGGAAAAGAGCTAGGTGACAGACAGACATGGGACAAGAGCAGGAAGAAAAAGCACCAACACGTCCGTCTAAGCCTCCGCCATTTTTTTGTGCCTGTACCTTTTCATTTTAAACAGGAGTGTGTACTATCCATTCAGAAATAAATAAAATTATAATGTTAAATACATAAATATCAAGTAAAACATTGACCTGACTGTGTTATTCTCTTGCTAAGAGCCCCCACAGTCCTATGATTAAAACCAATCTCTGTGGTGTTGCTTCGCCGGGCCCTCTATTACCTCACAGTGCCGAACACTCCCCCTGTGCCAAGGATTACACTGCACTTCACAGAGCCCTTCTCTATGCTCCTCACTCAGCTCCGGGGTGCCTTCCCCCCCCCACCCCACACACATTAGCCTGAGCCCGACCCACCTCAGGTCTCTCCACATGTTCTCCAGCCTGTCGCCAGTACAGTGCTATGTGGCTAGGTTTTGAGGCAGCAGGATGGGACAAAGCCTGCTGGTAAGCAGTACGGATGTGCATCCTGTGTTCTCAGCCTGTGTGCACTTCTCAGCGAAGACTTCACAGCAGAATGGCCCCAGTGACTGGCTCAGTGGCCCCCAACACTGGTGGGCAAAGCTGCACCCAGAGAGTTAAGGCTACTCTACCCCATGAGTGATTTATGAACCTTGTTTCAAGAGTAATTCCAGCTACCCAGGCTCCCTCTAAAACCTAAATGTCATCCCTCACCTCACCCAAACTATTATTGACCGATTTTACAAATGAGAAAATCGGGCTTAGAGAAGTTAGGTGACTGCCTTGGGTTCTTCAACAAATAGGGGATAGAGAAAAGATCTGAACTCTGGTGTACCCACATGCCATACACAACTTGTCCTTGCAAATGGGGACCAGAGCCTCTCTAGCCTCCTCACCTAGCCTGCACTTTACAGTGAGAATCAAGGCACAACCCATGCTAGTTCTCACTCCTTCCCTGTCTTGCTTTTGTTCCTGTTCCTCTCTACCCAAACCTGACTTGCCCTGACCCTTCCTTCCTAGTCCACCCCACACTGAGAGCTCACAGACCAAAGCCTGGATTTCAATTTGTATTCGCAGCAACCAGCACAAGACCCAGCTCAGGCACAGCTTAATCAATCTTTGTTGGACTGACTGAGCAAACAATAGTTCCCCCTACCTCCTCCACTTTCTTTACCAGGAATTGGTTTCTTTCCTCTGAAATTCAATTTCCTATTGGTCTATAAAACTATCCAGGAGTGCCTTCTCTTGGCCCAGTGGCCGGAGGGGAAGGATGATGTATAAGTATTTAGTCTATCTCCCATCTGATGCCTGTTGGGATCTTGGAGATGGGAAATAAAAGTGAACTGACAAACCCAGAAAGATAAGTGCAGACAGGATCCAAACCCTCTGAGGCCTATGGGATTTTCTCTGTGGCCTCGTTCTAACATCCACAAGCCGCCTTTGTTGCAGGGAGCACACAGCTCTGCTCCAAAGGCCAGCCTCTTGAGCAGACTATTGCAGCGCAGCCAACATCAGGGATTTCTAAGGAGACCAAAGGTCACAGTGACTTGACTGGACCTACTGAGAACCAGGGCACCACTGGAAACTGGGGTCACCATCAGGCAACTGCCCGGCTGCCTGGAAGCAGCTTTTTGTTACTCCATTTCTTCATCAAACTTTTGATCAGACGACAGGAAGTGACATAACTGGCCCATCTTGTCTTTTTCAAAATCTCTAGTATTGCCACAGAATGAATCAAACAGTATCCTTCCCAATTCCCACGAACCCAGAGTAGGAAATCATACTGAGACCAGAGAGAGTGGGTGGGAAACACAAGTCAAAAACTTGCAGTGTACAAATGACCCTCTATATTTCTCAATCTATCAGAGCTTTTCATCTGGATCTATTTACTATAGAATTCTTTAAAGCAGTGATTTTCAACCCTTTTCATCTCATGGCACACATAAACTAATTACTAAAATTCTATGGCACACCAAAAAATAATTTGCCAATCCAACAAAAAAAACACTGGGTGGCTATTGTTGTGTTGGCTGTTGTCATTTTTAAATTTGACAACATAAGGGAAAAGATGTTGATGCCTAACTAAATAGTCAGGTGATTTTATTTTTAAAATATTTTTATTGATTTCAGAAAGGAAGGGAGAGGGAGAAAGAGATAGAAACATCAATGATGAGAGAGAATCATTGATTGGTTGCCTCCTGCATCCCCCACACTGGGGATCAAGCCCGAAACGCATGCCCTGACCAGAATCAAACCCTGACCTCCTGGTTCATAGTTCGATGCTCAACCACTGAGCCATGCCTGCCGGGCTAGTCAGGTGTTTTAAAAATTCTTGCAGCACACCAGTGTGCCATGGCACAGCGACTGAAAATCACTGCTTTAAAGGTTTGCAGAGTAATTATAACAAGGTTAAAGTTTCTCAGTAGTTTTGAAATTTCTAATTCTGTAATTATATATTTTAATCATTTCAAAAATAAAAACAGAATTAGTATTTGTATCATAATGCACAACTTAGTAAGAGCCTCCAAAAGTGGCCATCTCCTTCCCTATGATTCACATATACACAAAGGCCCCTGTACTCTTTGGAGGAGGAGGAGGAGGAGAAGGAGGAGGAGTATTAACAACGTGAAACAAGTATTAACAATTTCTCCCCCAAATCCAATGGTATCCATGAGCCCCTCACAGGGATCTTTGGTGAGTGGTAGCCAACAGCCTGGAACACTGTGTCCACCAAAAGGTAGGAAATCCTTATTGTTTTAACCAGGCCTGCAAAGGTGTGCTCCTCCACAAACATCCTGCTAAATTCCACCTGACCGGCCAGGAGAAACCCGAGTAGGAGAACCATGCCACACCACCAAATGGACCAAAAGAAGAGCATATTTCAGGTATTTCAAATACCACA